ACACACTTCTAAATAATCTATGAGTAAGATGGAAATTAAGGAGAATTTAAAATATTTTAAATTGAATTATAATAAAGACAATATATCAAAATTATTTGTGGGGTGCTATTAAAGCACTGTTTACAGGGAAATTTATAGCTTTGAGTGGTTACATTTGAACAGGAGATCTAAAATCAATCACCTAATTTTTTATGTAGGTAAAGAAGCTACCTAATAAAAGAAAAGCAAATTAAACCTAAAGTAAATCAAAGAGAGACAACAATAAAGGTAAGAGTAGAAATCAATAAACAGGAAAACAAACATGCAAGAAAAAACTAACAAAGCCAAAATTTGGTGTTTTGAAATGATAAATAAAATTCATAACCCCCTAGCAAGATTGTCCAAGAAAAAGAGGGAAAGTAAACATTTCCAATATCAGAATTAGAGGTGATAGTTAGTTGTACATGCTGTGAATGTGCTAATGTCACTAAACTGTTCACTTTAAAATAGTTACTTTTATGAAATATCACCTTAATAAATTAGCTTTTAAAATTAAAAAAAAATTCAAAAAACACTTAAAAATCCCACATCAGGAAGTAAAACAGAGGGCATCTCTATACATATTAATATACTTTTGGTTATAATAATGTATTTAAACCAATCTGTCAAAATGGCAAGGTCACCATGTCATGTTACAATGGTCTGAGAGACTAGAAAGTGAGCACTGATTATAGAGAATGTATTGAAAATGTGATCATAATCCCAAATATCCTGGTCATAAATATTATACAAATACCAGTAACTGAAAGTACAACTGCTTAATTTCTTAAAATTTAGTGGTCCTTGAGGGGGATGTCTTGAAATAAAGTCCAACTCATGAATTTATTATCATCAGCTTTATATTACAGCTATATAGAAAAAGCCCCTATTTTTCCTACTAGAATATATGCTTTCCTTAAGGCAAAAGATGATGCCTTGCTTATGTTAAGTTTTCAGAATAGGAGTCAGTATATGACCCCTCTTAATTCAGATGCCAGTTGAAACTATACTCATGTAACTATGGCCAATGTATAAATTTAAAGGCACAGTGGTCAAATAATTTGGACTCTGGAATCTGCCAGACCTATATTTACTCAGTTTGGTCCCCTACTGACCAACTGTATGAAACTGTATCACATTTTCAAAACTTTACTCAGTTTGGTCCCCTACTGACCAACTGTATGAACTTTTCCTCTTTAGAGGCAAGTTTCCTCACTTGCAAAATGGGGATCAAGATAATTTCCAGGACACAGCATGTAAGGATGGTAAAGATAAAGGTAGAAGCTAACATTAATTGTGTTCTTACATTTGCCCAGCATTTTGCCATGTGCATAATAAGAATTCTCATTTAATAATTTAACAATTCGAACAGGTTACTGTTATTCTCAATTTACAAATGAGAAAACTGACAATTAGAAACTTGTCCAAAGTCCTATGATGAATAGGTTAGGATTTGAAAAAGAGCCTGTGGTTTACCAACCACAGAACATGAACATAATAAATGCTCAATAAATAGAATCTATTAAAATTCTTTCTCAACTACTAAATTAATCTAAATTATGATTAGAAGAAAAGCAAATAATTTTAGAGCCATTTTCTCTTTTAAAAAAGTTAAAATTAGCCCTAGCTGGTTTGGCCCAGTGAATAGAGCGTTGGCCTGTGGGCTGAAGGGTCCTGGGTTCGATTCTGGTCAAGGGCGCATGCTCAGGTTGCAGGCTTGATCCCCAATGTGAGGCAAGCAGGAGGCAGCCGATCAATGATTATCTCTCATCATTGATGTTTCTATCTCTCTCCCTTCCTCTCTGAAATCAATAAAAATATATTTTTAAAAAAGTTAAAATTATAGAAATACATTCAAAATAGAGGAGTAGTTGGGCAAAGAGAAATCTCCTAATTAGGAAATAAAGGTAACAAAACTTCCAATGCTTAAAAAGAGACATATTTTATGTTAAACTATCCCACGGCCAAGAGGCAGGAAAAGCAGGAGCAGGAACTTAGGTGCATCCCACAGCTTAGTTCATGGTTTGAGATGCAGAAAGTTATCTAGGGGGACTTTTAAAAAAGGGGATTTTGAGTATATATGATAACATCGCCAAGGAAAACTTTGTCTCTGAAACATTTAGAATTATCTGAAAAAAGTATTTTTAAATATAAGAAAAAGGGGATATGGGTTAAATTAATCAGTGATTAATAAAAGTTAAGTTTGAAAAAGTGACCATTTTATCCCAGGTGCTTTTATTTCTTAAAAGTGTCTCTAACCATCTATCCTATCTAATAATAGAGAAACATGGTAATTAACCATAACTTCGCTACCCTTCCCATTGGCTAATCAGGGCGATATGCAAATTAACTGCCAACCAAGATGGCGGCCGGCAGCCAGG